TTTAACTCTTAAAAATTGGTTTACCAGTTTAAAATTTATAGTTTGTCAATATTTCATTAACCAAAAACTATTCGAGACCAGTTAAAGGGCAGTCGGAAGGTTCAGGGCTTTGCTTTAATAGTCTGGTTTTAGCATAGAGTAAAGTTTTAATTGAAATAGTTACATGTCTCTTTTCAATTTGGAAGAAAATCTAAGACGGATTACGTTGCCGCTTACACATTGATAGCTCAAACCATAACGCGCGTTGATAATCCCAAACTGAAGGGATGATTTTCAATTTTTTTTGCGAACTCCAACTATACTCCAACTATCAAATCGAACGCTACTCATAGACATTAAAGGGCTGTCAGAAACTTTAGAGTGTCGCTTTGATACGAGCGGTCTTGTTAAGTTTTCGGACTTCATCATTTTTTTTTTCAAAATTTCGAAGATTTGCTATTCATTATGGAAATCCAAATCTTTCTGCAAGGTTTTTCATGCGATACTTATTTATCTGGTCTGCAGTATGCCAGTCGGTTTCCAACTTTGTAAAAAGTTTGGCGCAGCAAATGAAACATATCATATGCAAACGAAATTTTCAATTTAGCAACAACTTAGGAAACTTTTTACTCGTTTATATGTTTCCTTGAGGTACTTTGAACTTAAACAAAAGCACAAGCAACTCCCTTCCGCATCCAAATCCAGTCGAGTACCCAAATGCATCTGTTATCATTGTGAAAAGTGAGACATTTGGGAATACATAATAGCCCTTTTGTATTCTACCTCAATAGTTCAAACACCATCTGCACTTTTTAAACACTTTGCGCATTTTTTAACACTTTTTCTTTCTGAGAGGGAAAAATTACTTTGTTTAAATTACCGACGGCCAGCAAAGAAAGTTAGTGAATAAAATCAAAGCTTTCTTTCAAACAGTCAAAGGGACTGTTTGCCTTGATATTAAAAGAGCCTCAACCAAAAAATATATATTTTATTTATTTGATCTATGCTTTAAAATTGAAATGCCTCGTTTGCTCAAGTATTTGGCCAAAAATATCACATGGTCTCTGAAGAAAAAGAAAGGCATAAAGAGTGCTCTCACTATTTTTAAAAGGATGGTTAAAAGTCTCATTTCATGTGATATTTTGACAAAAAAACTGTTGTTTAATTAAAATTTTATGCGCAACCTTGAAACGAAAACTTTTTAAACTAAATTGAATTTTTTCGTTATTAATCAAAATGAAAAATTCGGAAAATACAGCTCTTTTTGTTTGTACGAATGATTTGGAGTGCAATCTATTCGTGCATTGTTACGAAGTGTGTGTATGTATTTAGAAACAATTTTCGAGCCTTGTTTTCACATTTCAATTAAGGTAATAGCTAACTCAGAGACCCGCCCTCCGGTTATTCTCCCTCGGGACTAACACACTTCCCTCACTCTCTCGGGTAATCTCACTTAGCAGAAAGACTGAATGATAGAAAGTTATATTAACCAATCAAAATTCACTATTCAAAAATCTGAAAGAATACGTGATAGTTAAGTTTGTTTTTTGGACTGTTTGAAGGCTTTTGATTGGTTGGAAATTGTCTACAAATCAATTCTTCTGCCACGAGAATCACCACCACCCCACTCTCTCCCATTTTTGTTTTCTTGTTAGCCCTCTATTCTCCCCCTGCAACAGTTCGATAGATGACCATACAGCCAAAAGTCAGACCCGAAGATTAAAAATTGGAAGGAAGAAATATTTGGAGGGATTTGAAAAGTAAAACAAACTTAGTAGGGGATGGGGAATAAGCCCGGGCTCAATTCGCAGCCACTGGAATGTTTCGCCCTGGCAATAAAGAGGCCTCTCCTAAATTGATTAAATTAGAGCCAACACTTAAGCCTTTCTTTGTAGTTCGCTCTGCCGTCCAAATATTGCAAATAAGTCTTTTCCTTAATTTTTTTTTCAAAACCGCAATTTTTCATATCTGCATTAGTAAGGAGCTACTATTATTTCATGTCTCGTTGAGGAAAAAAATTCCTGATAAAATGAGCGGATACTTGGCCAATATTTCAATTTTCCTGTTGAAATATTTTCGAAGAGTTTTTTTCTAGCATTTTCAAGATAGACTTCAAAGCACTTTGCCTGTCAAGTGCGTTTTATACCTTCCTGAAACCTTTTTGTCCATTTTTGCAGCTCTTAAAAAACTGTTTCAAGTGTTGAATTAGCACTATAGAGTCTCCAAAACGGGTCAAAATCCTATCTTAGGAGGTTCTTAAAAAAGAGCACTTATGGAAAACAATGATTCAATTTTTCAGTCAATTAATTTTTTGTCTCTTTTTTGTTGTTTACAGTGCTAAAAATATAAGCTGTTTTATTGTTTACTGTATTATGTTTATTTTTTTATTTTAAGTTTTCTTAGATGAGCTTTGTTCAGTTCGTGGATTAGTTGAACAAAAGCGATTAAAATGCAAAACTGGTGAGAGTGCAGGATGAATGGGCCGCACTTGCAGAATAATGACAAGTGAAATCAAATTGGACTCCTGTGATCAAATTAGTTTCGCCATTCAACTATTCACCCCCATATCCCACTTGTAAAACGACCATCCCAATAAAAATAGGAAGCGACAGGTTAGCCTGTCAAAGGTTCTCGACAAGCCGAAAATTGATTTCTTGGGCGCCCAGCAGAAACATATTTTCTTGCATTTAAACTGTAGCATTATCAGATTTTAAAATGATTTTCTTTAAGCCTTGATAAATTCGGCTTACAGTCCTGATGGTTTCGTGGTTTTTTGAAGATGCTGGCCTAATTTGGGGCTAATTATTAGACAGTAAGAGCAGCAGAGCTAATTTCATTGCGCATTTAATTTGTTTGACATGGTTAATGCCTGAATATAGATGCATTTTGGTTGCTGCGGGCTAACTTGTCAATCATAATCATCTGAAATGACGGGCGGCTATTGTAGCATGAAGGGCACCCCAAATCCGCCCTGAAGGCACCATTAGTGTGCGTGTGCCCCATTCCCCCTCCCCTCGGGATTTAAAGAAAAATCAGAGCCAGTCAAAACACAGTTAACGGTGGAAATATATGGCCACATATTAGAATTGAAGAAAAAAGTAACAGGTAGTCTCTTTTCGTTGGTTTTTTTTTTTCATCACGGTTCAATGACATTTTCACTCCAAGTTGATCACATGACTGGTGTTTATGACAGGATGGTCTTGATATGACTATTCGCTGAGCAGTGTCAAAAACAGCAGACTTTCATGACCATCTGTCATGTCAAAATGAGTCAGATGGCTGCCTGAAAAGCTATCGGGTATTTAATCCGACAAAACCATGCCTAAAAGTGAATGCTTTCGCTCTTAGGCTTTCCAATGCGCGTTTATTGACAACGTTCGTTTATTGACAAGGTTGACTTTAAAATAAAATTTTCAAAAAAAAAAATTTCTTTCTAATACGTTATATTTGAAAAATCGACCAACATCTGAAGAAAAGGCGATATAAAATACTATATTTTTGGCTAAATTTGGCGCTATATTTGTTTCTATTTCCTCTCATTCTGCCCATTTGAGGAGAAATCAGATGTCACTAGCCAGTAACGAGGAAGGGAGTGGGGTAAATTGACATATAAACAGGTGAGCTTCAAATAAGGGGTGAATAGCTAGTTAGCTAATTGGTTAGTTAGGCTCGTTATTATATATGAGTTATGAGCTATAATTGACCGTGTGAGTGACGGGGTTGTGAATGGGGTAGTAAAGTGACATGATAAGGTTCTCTCCGTGGGTGATTCTCCTGCTTACTACTAGGGTCACTAAGTTAACACTGAACTTCAAGAGGGGCTCTGCACAGTTCTGTATCGAACTGCCTCTTTACTCACTTATGAGAATAACAAAAAGAGCAATCGCAATTTCTAATTTATATCAGAAATTTTTTGCATGTAATAACTGGTACTGGTACTAGCACCTATAGTCTTCATTTTACAACAATATGATGGGCAGATAACTGAAGGAGAAGTTCCAGCAACTTCTTTTAATGACTAAATTGCACAATCCCTACCGCCCCTATAAAAATAGTGATTTGCATTTATTCTTCTCACAATTTTCCTCACATACTCACATTTATAATTAAATTACTATCATCTGCTGAAACAATAAATTCCACCTTTTGGATTTTATATAATTTTTCACTAAGATTTTATATAATCTTCAACAAAAATGTCTCCTGAAAAGTTGCAAAATTTCACACTGCGACAACTTCCGCCCCTTTTGGAATGTGTGAAATCATGTCACACTTCCTAAGTGGATTCTGTCCACTACAAATGCTCAACAATTGATTTTCAACCCGGAAGTTGGGCTGTGGCTTTTTCACTATGTGTTTCCGTTATTTGGCTTAAAATCACAAAATACAGGCACTCAACTAACAAGTTCAATTTTTTTTTAGTTGAAACATTAACCATGCCAATCGTAGTAATTTAAAACGTAGCAATTTTCTTTGGCTGTATTAGTAATTTTTTTCTTGTTTTTCCCCAGTTCCAAACAAAAAAAAGATGAGCAGTCAGTTTCGCTTTTGATTCCTCTTGTGATGAAATTTTTTCCTATTTTTCACATGTCCAATTATAACTAGCTCCGTGTAATAATACGTAATAAAATGTATTTCGCACGTAGTTCATGTCTTTTTTACGGTGGTTTGGTGTTCAAATTAGCCCAATTATGTCCTTTGACTGCTGCAAAGGGGGAGAAGGCGTAGAGGCTGAAATTGCACACTGCTCTTCCCTTTCCTTGTTCTCCATTGTGGGATTGTGCCTCATTATCATTGTCAATCGCAGCAGTTTGAAATTAGAAGCCCACCCCGCGCAGAGAATTTTTATGCTCGGAAAACTCTTTTTCTGTTTCCCAAAACAAAGCAGCCGAGCATGTAATTGTAACTGACTGGCCCTCAGTCCATATTTTAGTTGCTAATCATAATTTTTCTTCAATTAAATGACTAAAAATGCCTCAAAAGTACAATAATAGTTACATGTTTTGTTGTCTTTGCTTCAGACTCGCCTAAACTTTCAGACGACAGGCCTTACACGACACTCGATCAGAATTGCGAACATCTCAGCCAATCACAATCGAGACTGGATTCGACCAATCAGCGAACTGTGCCTGTTTCTAATCAGCATTTCGTACCTATCCGACCAACTAGAGTTCCGCCGCCTCCTCAAATGAGTGTGCAGAGCATTTATGAAGATTTGGATACCTCAAAAAAAGCAATTTTCACATCACAAGATACTTAGGGATGAATCAAGTGGTGAAATTGGAGAGAAAAAAAGCTGCCTAAAACTGAAAACAAACTCATTTTTACTTTGCTGGCCATGTTGTAGAGTCAGATAAGTTAGGTAAATAGCAATAAGCCTACTAAATGCTGGTAATTTTGATTAGCTTTAAGATTATGTATTAAAATTTAAACATTTTAAAAGAAATAACAACAAGTCTTTTTTTTAAACAGACGAAAAAAGCATTTTGAGTTTACAGTTTTCTAGAAAACTCTGAGATGTAATAGTGCTGCACAAAAGAAAAGAACTGCGAGAACTTGGTACAACACTAATTATAGCAGCCTCCTTGCATTTTTTTATAAAATGAAAATTAAAATAAAACTCCTCGTCAGGGCAAAACCCTAAATGTTTCTGAAAAAAAAATTTAGAAACAAATTGACCAAATTCTAAAAAAAATCATTTAAAAATTTAACCTCTACACGCAATTTCAAAGATATATTGATGAGTTTTGCGTGTCCTTACTGAATAATTGGATCAACCAACTTGCCTGAATTCACATCGGGATGAATTTTGAGCCGGTTTATTTCTCCGCGGATAAAAAATCGGATAAACTGGAATATTCGCGCGCTTTCACAAGTCAGCAACTTTTAAAACGATGAAATGATCACTGGTGAAGTATTCGTAATTTAGGATCAGAGTATCAATGTCTGTTTAATTGTGAAAATAAATTCAATGCAAAATTCTTTGTTAAAAAATCAAAACTGGTCTGAAGAATTTACTTTTGAGCCTGATCAATTTGTCGACTCTGTTTCAGACCTTTTCATGCAAACTTTGATAGTGTAACGCAATCTTCAATCCAAAACTGCCAAATGAACCATTTTCAAACCTCAAAAAAGTTAATAAACATCGCAGGTGAAAAATCGTTGCATTTTGAGCTAAGACTCGTTACTTTGAGGTGGTACAAATCTGTTCCGCGTGGTTACTTGAAGAAAAAGAAAAACGTACGAAAATTGTACAAATAAGAAGTACAAGAAGACATTAACTTGAAGGGGAAAAAAATTTTTTTACCAAAAATGTGGTCGGAACATTCTGTGCTACTTGCACAGCAACCGGCTATCCTTGTTTAAGATGTTTACTTGATGTTGAAGCTCGTCTTTTTTGGGATTGGACGGGAAGACGGGAATTATCTATTAAATATCTTCAAAACAAAATTTATAGTCTTCTTTATTGCCAATTCTGTGATACGCCTGAAATATAACAAGACTGATCAGATCAGGGCTAAGCCCTGAATGTTCCGACTGCCCTTCAATTGGTCTCGGATAGTTTGTGGTAATTTAACATGGGCAAAACTACGAATTTAAGGCTGATACTATAATATCAAAACTTAATGTTGCAATTTGCGTCGTCTATGTACTTAATAAAACCATTTAGGTGCCTCAATTCACTTCGGAACGCTTTTGTAGTGCGGGATAGCAGACAAGTAGTCTTAGACAAACTGATGGTAGGTTACTATACTGGTGTCTATACTCGGTTGGCCTCATGCAGATCAAGAGATCACTCCCCCGAGGGACCAGAGTTTTGTGAAATGGTCTGAATAAAAAAAATCCTCGAGCATATATATTCCTCACTTTCTTTGAAAGTCGGAACAACAAAACTGCTCGTATCAGGGCAAAGTCTTAAAAGATCCGACTGTCAATTAGGTAGTCTCGAATAGTTTGTTGAAAATTAGGTATTGGCAAAACTATGAATTTTAGGCTTATCATATAAAAGTTTAAGTCTTACGGCTTAAGTATTTAAGTGGTCATGCTATAGTTTAATTCGTGTATAGAATTAATGAAAACAATTAACTGCCTCAATTCGTATTTTGTAGTTCGGGATAAATTGCCACGCGTGTAAATTATAAACGAGCAGTTTAAACAGACTGGTTGCACGTTACTATGATGGTGTTCACCCAAGCAGATTATTGTAAAACTGATCTGAATTTAAAAAATCACCCCGTGCATATACAACCTCACTTTCTATTAAAATCGGAACAATGAAAAGAAACCGTTTTTTTTTCCTTCACTGTGTGCTTCTGTATATTTTTTGAAGTTTTTTTACTTGAGATTTTTTGTTTCCACTTGATTCCACTTTCATTTCATGTTTTGGTAAGTGACGACGTAGCAAATTGGGAAATCAAAATCAAAGGTTCAAGCATTGTACTTGGATGTTTTTAACAGGTTTGAAAGCTTTTGGCTAAGTAAGTTTGTGCGTACTCTCCTTACGTTTTTGTCCCATCTTCTCTCCTTCGGGAACAGTTCATGGATACAAAAGTTCATGGATACAAAACAGTTCATGGATACAAAAGTTCATGGATACAAAATGGATACAGTTCATGAATACAAACAGAATATCGCTTCAAGACTTCATGGATTATCCGTTTCGGCCTGTCCGTTTTAGTTCATCATTTTTGGCATGAAACGTTTTTTGAGCTGTATCAATTCTAGAAAGAAAATTTATCGCGCAAATTTTGCAAAACTTTCCAACTAGTGTCTCTGAGATTTAAAAATCGCGAAAAAAAACCTTGGATGAAAGTGCTTATAAGATGATATGTCATATTGACCATATGATGTTTATTTGTGGTGCCTGATTTTTTGATACAGATCCTGACTGCAAAAACTTTCATATATTTTGGTTATTTTGGCTATCTAATGAACGTTTTTCAGCAATCTGTCTAATTAAAATTTCTCAAAAATATTAGTCAAACTATGAGCATATTTCGGTTGATAAGGTCACATCTGAATGAAACTACAAGAACTTGAGCTTTTTGGCTCTCTACGGCAAACCACTGTTGTGCCTTGCTTAAAATTTTACCTAACTCTTAATTCAAAAGGCATTGAAAATTTTTGGCTCAATTGTACACCCGGGTCGAAGTGCTCGATTTATGTTTCGCCTATCTCGGTATGTTTTTTTTGGATCAACTTTTGATATGATTCGAATGTTTGGTTTGCTTTTTTGTCTGTAATTTGTTTTCAAGTCGAAGCAATTTTGCTTTTATTTTCTCCACAAATCTGGGCTGAAACTGCTGATGTGAAAACTGATATTTGAAGAATTTTTTTTTTAGAATTTAGTTTTTAATGCCGCAGGATTCCTAAGATTTTCAAATTTTACAGGGTTCCTTCTAAATTTTCTAGTTCTGCGGCAAGTAAATTTCCTCAGTTGATTTTTGCGAGATTTTTCTGGCGGATGCGTTTTCTGAGTGGATTATTTTGCTCAATTTCCAATTTAATGTCACTAATATCTTCAAAAAAAAAATTGAAACTTTGAAAAAAAAAGGTTGGGCTTGACCAATGTTTCAAGTGTCCCGACCAAAATCAGGAATGTTTCGACTGTGTTCGACCTACATTTTGACTTTCTCGCCCTTTTTTTCGACTTTCTCGAAATAACGATGTGCTCGACTTAAATTTGCTTTTTGACCACTGAATTTCAGAGACTTTCAAAGGCGAGACATAAGACGAGGATCTCGACCTGGGAATTTACCCTGTTTCTTTCAAATTTGGATGTTTCTATATGCGCACGAACCCAACTTTTGGTTGCTAATACTTTTCCATTTTTCCCACTGATATAATTTTCTCCTAAAGAATCAATAAGAATTTCTCTGGTTTTCATCAAACTGGAGAAAACTGATCACGGTGATTTCAAAGGAGCACAAGGATAACCAGTTCCTGTGCAAATATCAATCAGAAAATTCGGAGCACGTTAACTAAAGTGCTTTTGAAAAATCAGTTTCTTTTTGCTTCAAGTTGTGTCGTGTGTTTTTCTTCTAGAAGAGGATCTGAACGAAAGCTTTAGAACAAAGGCGCATTCGAAAAAAATTTTGTGTTTAAGACGTTATCGATATTCGCCTTCCTTGTCTTGAAAATATCTTTTTCGAAAAATGAAAAAAAAACTAACATTTAAGAAATTTTTTTTTTTGCATTTTTTGATTCTTTCCATTCAATAATGCTTATAATTTGAAGGCGCTAAAAACTTCAAATTTTTCTTCAATATATAAAACAAAACTTTCGAAGTTTTAAAAGAAACTTAACGCCCTATTAAAAGCCCGGTCGCCAATTATCCGCTCGAAAATTTAACTGAACGCTAGAAACTTACCGCCCTAATAAAACCCTGGTCGCTGATTATGCGCTCGTTAATGAAAAAAATTTCAAAAAAAAATTCTGGTTAGTTTGAGTGACAAATAACCGTTTTTTGTATGAAATCACTGTTTTGATGAAAAAATTACTCATATTTTTCTGATGCCTGTTTCTGGTGCTTGATTCTGCGTTGAAAAATAACTAAGTAAAAACCACTTACGAATTAAAACCATTTAAATTAAAAACCCACTTTTAGTTGCTCGAGGATATATGAGACGTAGAATTCCTTGTTTTTTGAGGTTTTAAAAAGTTCGAAATTCCATTCAAAAGTTGATTTATTGGTTTGTGCGCATTTTTTTTTTGCAGTAAAATGCGATTGTTTGACCTAGGCGTGCTATGCTTTTATCATCTGGATTCGGGAGGGAAAAACGTTATCTTTTTAATTGAAGTATGCTTCAAGCAAATCGACTGAAAATGAGCTTGCTTTGAGCGACTGGACCAACAACGAATGAGAGTTCTTCAATCTTAAGGTTATTTGAATTCTGCTTCTGGCAAAATATGTAATAGTCTCAAAAAATTGTACATTTATGTATATCAATGTTAGTATATAACAAGAATGCCTGGTTCTGCACAGAGCACAGAATTTTCAGGCCATATTCTTACAAAAATATATAGAAGAAAAAACTTGCCTTTTTTCAATTTAGTGTAGTTTTTGTGCGTGATGTGGTAAAAGGTTTTGACTAAAGCATACAAGTTGAACATACTCGAGAATCACAGAAACAAGGACAAGTTGAACAACAATTTTTTCACAAAAGTCCAGAAAATCAAAAAGCCATAAAAACCAAATTTTAAGTTTGTTGCTGAAACTTTTTTGGATTTTTGGAACTTTCTCCGACGCGGCGCTTAGAAATTAATTACACCGTAGTAAAATAAAGTTTATTTTTTTATAATACACCTGCTCGCTGGTTTTACTCGCTTAAAATTGAACTGAAGCTCAAAAATTTCAATCCAATTTTTCTCATGTCATGAAAATATTTTGAACATTACATTAATGT